TTCGGGGAGCAGGAGGGAGAGAGCACGGGCTGAGTGGTTTGCCTAATTTTTATAACAGTGCAAAAACAAATTGTTTTAGTATCTGTGGAAAAACTGTTTTCGGGCCATGTGCACATTTGTTTTAGTACCACTAGAGGCGCTGTCCCCTGCCCTGGAAGGACAGTGTCTGCTTCTCTGGAGCTCATCTGTGACGCTGGGCAGCAGTGCCGAGCGCCGACCTTCCGCAGATGTAGCAACCAGTCTCTTTTGGGCCCTATTGTGAATGGAAGAGGGGTTGTTCAGTGAAAGGGAGCCTGGAAAGTCCATTAGTATCCCCGGGCTGTTGTTCACTCTTCTCATTTCCTGCCATGTGGTGAGTTTGGCCAAAGGTAGACCTGGCAGCACAGTGAGCTGAGCAGCAGAGATGCAGAGATTAGCTGGAGTTAGAATGGAACCACTTAATGCTATGCTCTAAGCTCTGCAGTGCAGGGAAGAACGGGGTGGTTATGTGGGGAATTGCGATAGCAGGGTATCCCTTGGACCAAGTCTTGGGAGAAACTGTCTGATATTATTATATTTTTGTCATGGTGTTGTAATCCGTAGTGCTCTGACGGATCCAGGGGCAAAAAGGAGAGTGCTAGGATGTTTCTCCCTGGGATTGTTTTTCTGGGTGCAAAGGTGTGTTCTTGAAAGTGGAGGCAGGAGCCAGGTGTCCTCCTTGGAGTGCCAGGCCGCAAAATGTAGCAGTGCCTGGTTCTCTTCTCGTTGGGTGGAGGGAAGGAGGGAGCACGGAATGAGTGGGTTGTGGCTTGCACTGGAAAGAGCAGATGCTTCACAGCCCGTGAGGCTTGGATGAAAATCCAGACTTTTGTATGAGCCCCTTTCAGCTTGCGAGTTCCTAAATGTTGGGCTCTGTCGGACTTAGTTAACGTTCCCATTAGGAGCCGTGTTGGGTTTAGCGAGCGCCCTTGCTGCCAGCGGCGGGGAGGGCTGTGACGGGTCCCGCGCGCCGCGTCCCCAACGCAGGGGAGGAAGCGGGAGGCGCCGCAGCCTCGCGGCGCCTGAGCATCTTCCGGGCCAGGCGGTGGCGGGCGTGATTGGTGGAGAGCTCCAGTTCTTGCAAATGAGGGGGCGTGCCCTCATCTAGCGCCCCACGCCGCGGTTCGTGGGCAG